CAGTATGAAAAAAAAAAAAAAAAAATAATGATGTTTATCCTTTGGTTGATAGAGTCTTGTTCTGCACGGCCCAGCCGGCGCACGTGATAACGATAGCCGCGGTGCTCTGCGTCACGTCGGCCCTCGTCCCGAGTGGCTCCGAGAGGACGACGAGCCAAGCCGCCGGCCAGCCCCGCTCGCAGCTCACGTCCTTTGTTTACCTGGCCTCCTTCGTCGTGCACTTTGGCTCCCAGATCTGGATGACCTTTGTCTCCGGTAAGCACTTTTTTTTTTTTTTTTTTTTTTTTTTTTTTTTTTTTTTTTTTCCCAAGTGCTGTTTTGGAGTGAAAAACGCGCGGGCTGTCGATCAAAGGCCCGTGTGCAAATGCAGAGTGGATTTGTAACTTTTATCGAGAGCGGTGGGAGGGTGCACGGAGTGATGGGCGAGCTTTTCATTGAAAGCCCGCGCGTGTTTAAATACATTGATGGCCCGTTGTTGTTTCCCAGTGGAAAAGGGCCGGAGGATCCGGAGGGGCTTTCACGGTTTTTTTGGCGATCGTGGCGTTTGGAAATTTTTGTAACATCGGTTTTGTTAAATACTCGTGTGCGTCTTAATAACGATATTAATGTTATTGCTTTTTTTTTTTTTTTTTTTGTTTTTTTCTGTCACGCTGACCTCACGTAAACGAGCTAAAATCATCACATTTGAGGAGTATATATCATTTAAGTAAGTGTAATCAAATGCTGAACTAATCCGTTTGAACATTTTCTTCATGTATAGGTATATATAATTTTATCTCATGTATTCTTCGACTCGGTTGAAAACGATACCTCTCCAGTGAGACATTTAGACTCATTAGAAACGCGATTTATATAGATCGATCATTGTTCTTCTTCAATAATTGTATCGTTACTTGGGTGACATCTAACGGTATGGTGTGAATGACCATCAATTTCGAACAATCGAATCGTTGTTACAAAAATATGTAAATAGTGAGTAATGCGAGGGTAAAAATCAAATGGAACAAGGCCTAGAAAAGAACAAACCCGGGATCTTTACGACTCTCTACGTGGCGCACAAAGAAATGCTCATTGTATGAAACCAAACCATTCGATGCACTTTAAACCTGTGGCATAAAGGCGCATAATGTATATAATATACGCATGCGCGCACCCCTCTTGGCACAAACTAAACTTTGCGGGCAAACAAAATAGCGCACGTATATAACGTTACAAGAAAATATATATATATATATATATATAAATATATATATATATATATGTATAGGATGAGCTTTCCGCGTGCATAAATTTTAAGCTCTGCCTGCGCAAGAGAGCAACAAAACCCACTTATATGCTCCGGAAGCAGCAAAATATATATAAAGACGAATAGGAAGAAAAAGAAAAAAGCACATGGCAAATGTACGAGGACAGAAATGGCACACGACCCAAAGGAAATGGGAAAAAAAAAAAAAAAAAAAAAAAAAGGTGACATATAGCGTTGCAAGCACACAAGTATAGAGAGAAAAGATTCGCTGGCGTGAGCGAGCCACATATACAACGAAACATCGCAGCTATGGAACGAAAGGAGCCTGCACGCCGGCAGATAAGAGGAGAGAAAAAGGACGTGCCTCCTACCACGCCCCCACCTCCTCCGGCACAAAAACGCCGCTACACGATCCAGATGGAGAATAAGAAGACGCCCGATAGAGCGATGGACTATAGCCATTATACGAAAGGGTCGGTACACCCAACGTGGACAGGTGATATTATACATCACGTATAAAATGTGTGTATATGTATACGATGCATGTATAAGCGTGGGTGGAAGAGAAAGAGGACGGCGGGCGTACGCGTGGGTGTATGCGCGGCGACTAAAGCCATCACTGCCGCGAGAAGCGAGAAAGGAGAGGACAATGGACATACCCGTGTGATGGATAATACAATATGTGCGTCCGTCGGCTCGAACCGCGAGAACGGGGGCGGGGCCACCTCCGTGGGTAGCTCCAGTGGGCGTGCACCCTCAGGTTGGCTCGGGCCGTCGAGCGGCGCTCGGGACAGGCCGACGCTGCCCGAGGTGGGAGTAGCCAGCCGACGCCTGGTGGGGGGAGAAACAGCTGCGTGGCGCGGGTGATGTCTCTGCCCCGTACAGGCGGGTGGTGGGAGAGCAACTTCCCCTCCTCCGCCGACCGCACGCACGGCGCTCGCTCTCCCCTCCCCTTCACTCGCGCGCTGCGGCCGCGGCGGCTCAAAGCCCGAATCAACGCACGCGGGGGGCACGGCCCTTCCCTTCTCTCTCTCTCTACATCGCTCGCCTCGTTTTCTTTTTCGTCTGCTAGCTTCTTGCTTCGGCTCGCGAGCGGCAGCAGTCGGTCGCCACCACCGGGCTGTGTCTCATGTATGTACGTACAGTGCCGTACGTGTACGTGGAGTCGCGCCCGACGCGCCCCGTCATCATTATCATCCCTGCCCACCACCCCCGCTCCCCAACCTCCGGACGTTATTGTGCACGCGCCCCTGGCGCTACCCGGGAGAACTTTGCTTCCCCACCTCCGTATACAACCCCCTCCCCCCAACGAGTCCAATACACGTGCGCGCGGACCTTCGCCAACTGTGTATATATATATATACTGGCTGCTGCTGACGCTTTTGTGCCCTGCTGAGCTGCAGCTTCTTATATTCTCTGTAGTTAGTTCCTCGTCATCGGAGTAGGTACTGCAGTTCGGTGCAGGCATTGTCGTTGCTCCGGCGCGAGAGGGGGGGGGACCACCAGCAGCACACAGCACCGCCAGTTCCCGTCAGGCCACGATGCAGTGACGTCGCCGTCGTGACCGAAAAGTCAACGGTGACATGTAGTGAAAATTAAAAGGCTCGTTACATACGCAAAAAGTGATTCTCGAAATCGGAGTCGTCGACGACTCCGGAGCATCATCGGTATAAGGCCGAGAGTTCCTGCAGTGCGGAAGGGCGGAAGGGCCGAAGGGGGGTGAGGAGGGACCCGATGATCGAGGCGTTGGACGAGCGGTGCACGCAGGCCAGTGAAGTTTTGGCCGCGCCGAGTGCGTTATCGTCAGCAGCATGCAGTGACAGCGAGGAAGCCGGCGGGGCGCGAACGCGGACACGGATCGACTCTACCCGAGTGTACCTCCAAGTGAACTTGTTTTTGTTCATCGTAACAAGCCATACACATGTTACCAAAGTGAATTATTCCGTTCGAGGATAATAGTTATAATAGTAGTAGTAATATTCAAAAGGACCGTGTGTGTGAGCGCCCGCGCGTGTCAGTGTGTGCGTGTGACAGTAAATATATATATATATATATATATATATATTAAATAATTTTGCGTAATGAAGAGTTATGGTTACTCGTGAAGAAACGGGGCTCCTCGGGTGAGGTGTTGGAGTAACTCGTGTACTATTAAAGTTTTTATCACGAGGAGAGGACGTCGCACGGGAGGAGGCATCGTCACTCAGTGGCCGCTCGCGCTCGAGGATAATAATATGAGCACGATTGTCAGGTGAGTGGATAATACGTGAAACCATTGGTTGCAGGGGGGTGGGTACCCGTTGGATTATTAGCTCGGCATCGTTTGGTTTTGAATCAATTTCGCAGATTTACGACAAATTCCTGCACCTGCTCCGATACGAAGAATCGAGCGCACGTGTATACGTGCCGATACGATGAGTCTTGTCGAATGTATCAAGAAGATAGGGGGGGGGGGAGTGATAATTCACGCGAGTTTGTTATTGCTATCACGGGGCAAAGAGGAAGGGAAAAAGATACGGATCAAGTAGATTTTTCGTTCGTACGTTTGAATATAACACCAAGACGAGGACGAAGAGACGTGTCGTGGAGCCGACGACACATTATTGGCGTTCTATAAATAAGAACAAGTAAAGTTACGTGTAAAGAGAGGGAGAGGGTTAACAATGCCGGTTATATTTAAACATCGGCTTCTGGCAATATTAATAGATTTTAAATTGCGTACCCGCCCCAAATAAGCGCTTCATTAGCACTTGTTAATAAGCAAAGAGCCCCCGGAGCCTTCATAGAAACCCGTTTCTCAATGGACGACTCTCCCTCTCTCTCTCACACGGTCTTTCCCCCTGCACGTGTGTTGGTGCGTTATAATTTACCGCGTGTTTTTTATTATCTTTTTTTCGAGATCGAAATAAAACGCCGCTCCGCTAGCTTACCGGCGTGTATTAAGTATACCTATTTGTCGTCGTGCTCTATTGTTATGATTCCCGGAGACATTCTTTCGAGGTGAAATCGGTTTGTCGAAATTTAGAGAAAAAGGACGACAATCATTTTAAACAGGATTGGTTGTTCGCGCCGAACGATGATAATAAAAAAATCTACATTTGCTTCGACTTGGGCCAATTTCACCTGCGTATTGTCGATGGTGGCTGATGTTTGTTCGAGCTCGAAAACCCAATAGAGCGACAAACAAAAGTCCGGGTTACATCATTCCCCCGAAATCGTCAAAAACAACGAACGCCTCGAGGTCGAAAATAACACCATGGGTCTATCTCGATCGAACAAACAACAAACTCCCACCGTTATTTTATTCTTTTATTTCCTTCGCCGCGCTTTCTCACGACGCTTCCCCCGAAGCAGCCCCATATGCACTTATTTATAGGAGCGCGATGATTTAAATCCGCGCGCGCACAATACACTGTGTCCGCGAGGAAATCTCCCGCTCGAGAGGAGTCGTCTATACTATTTGCGCGCGCTCGGGCCAACCTTCGCGGAACGAATCGGGACCGCTGCACGCGGTATATATACATCAGCGGAGAGAGCGCACATTTTAGCGGAAAGTCTAAATCCGCGCGTACGCGTATTATATATCCCAGAGAGAGAGAGAGATTCTCGTTTTAAAAGCACTCGCGCGCCTGTGTGTGTGTGTGTGCATATAGCGCGAGAGCTGGCGTGAAAGTAGCGTGCGATTTTATGAATGGGGACGCATGCATACCGCAAAGAGGGAAGAAGAAGCAGGGACGAGGAGAGAGAGGAGCGCCGAACGGGGCAGGTTTACAAAACGAGAATGCCCCCTCGCACCTCCGCGATAAATTTTCGAGCCGAGCGGGCGTGCGGGGCTCGATTATGTATATATATATATATATATACACGTGTATGTGTATAGAGGATTCGAAAGGCTTTAATCGGAGGTGGTGGTGGTGGTGGTGGTGCACCAGCTGACACGCGCGCCAACCTTCTCGTGCGCGGTACATGGGGAAAGAGGAACCACCGGAGCGCCGGCGGCTGAAATTCCCGAATCGACTTTGACGCATAGAATGCCCAACATCTTAAGTACGCGCACGCTAAATTTAATTGAAGTCCGTGGCCAAGCGCCAAGCCCCGAAGAAGCCGAGAGGGACAGTTCTTTTTTTTTTTTATTATTATTTATTTTTTTTTTTCCCCCTGCCAACAGAAAAGTCTCTTTCTTTCCTTCGCGCGTGTCTTATCTAACGCGAGAGCCGGGATTATTTTTTACCAACGTCGAGAGGGAAGCTGCGATCGGTGGTGATGTTTGTGTACATCAGGCTAAGCGCGCGGTGACGGACTCTTGGAATTCTTTTGTTGCGATTGTGGCACTTTACTCGTGTGTCAATACAACCATGGTGTTCCTCTCTCGTCTTTTGTCGTGCTCGAATACCTACGCGCGTCATATAGGAAGCATAGGAACCCCGACCGTCTTTAGATAATCCTTTCTTGACTCGTAACAATGCATACGTGTTTCGTCAGTCCCATACTTGCCTTGTGAATTCGACCGAATCAGAAATAACACTTACTATTACCTCGTATAAATGAACCAAACCTTTTTTTTTTTTTTTCTTCAAACGATTTGCATTCGCTAACCTGCATTTTTTCAATTTATACTACTTTTCAATGTGAAGGCATTTAAATACAACACACTTGGGTGTGCACTTTACATTATTGACGAGAAAATACGAGAAGGAAAAAAAAAAAAAAAAAAGTTCAACAGGGAAACAATCATATCAAATTTATCGGAGCAAAGAAAAGGGAGTAACGCAAAAGCTTCGTAATAAAGTCGTAAATGGCACGTGACGATGATTTGTACGCCGGTGTCCCTCTCTTTACAATAATTTATCAGCCGCGTCGCGTCCAATCGATTATTACCCGACACCCCAGAAAGACCTTCCCAGCTCCCCAATCTCGGGATATTTCGGCGAGAGAACACAAAGGGCTGGCGATCAAATCAGCCGTGAAAAGTCACGCACATCAGAAAAAGTACCGACTTTTACAATGGCACCGGGAGAAAGAGAGAGAGAGAGAAGCTACCTCCTGCTACTGCGGCTTATTATACCAGCTTATACGGGCTACGTATTTGTATACGCGACTCGGAACAATGCTCAGCCCGTGATTTTTCCAAACTCGGCGCCTCTCGTGCCATCCAACAGGTCTCACGCGCTATATGTACTTTACCCTGATGAAAAACGGCCAGTATAGTGTTATATACAAACATGCCTCTTCCACCAACGTAATGTATGATATTATTTTGTTGTGTACATGTGGGCCATGTGTTCATCTCAGCAGTGATGCCGCCATATATATATACTGTTGGGTAGGGAGACAACGTATAATACTTACAGGCAGGGGGTATAGCAGCTTAGCCTCGTGCACGTGAATGGTACATCGAGATGCATCTCTGCGTGACCTAGTGATCCTTTTTCTCTCCCTCTTGCATGTGCGTATGTACGTCGTTGCCCCCCTCCCTCCCTCAACGAAACTCCCCTAGGCATGTTGCTCAAATGCTTTTAAATTTTCATGCCCTACGGAGACTGGGTTTGAAAATTTCATGGGACGACGACAATCTACTGATACGGGGCTCTCTTGTGTTTTTTCTTCGTCCCTCCCCCAATTTTAATCGTGATTGTGTTGCATTGGTTAAAAAACATCGTCCTATTCGTCATTGCTCTTGTTTTGTAGCGTTTCTTTTGCAATCATTAAAATTATATAAATCTCGTTTCCCGAGAATCGCCATACAACAAACGAATTGTTGAATTTCGAGAGCCATTGAGCACTTATATACCTGCAGTGCACGTATAGTGCTTGATCGCCGATGAAAAAGGACAGCATACTGTCCGTAAACCATAGTAGACCCCCCCCAAAAAAAAAAAAAAAAAAAAAAAAAAAAAAAAAAAAGAAAGCTCCTACCCCTCCCCAAAAGTGTCTGGATTATGTTCATTGAGTTTCATTCTCATGCACATTTTTGTTGAGAAAAATATAAATGAAATAAACGTACATATTTTTATCGACTGGACCATCATATATATTTGGCAACAAAACAGTTTACTTGTTAACACTCAACAGTCGCCACTGGTGTCGATGATGGAAAAAAAAAAGCGCTAATCCCGTATATCCTCCTAATTACGAGCCTAATTACGTAAAGCATGCATGTATTATTATTCCATTGCACGATCGAGGTAACCAGAGTAAGCTGCATCATCATCGTCATCATCCGCCCTCCTGTGAAGCTGTTCCCGAACAGTAACACCGGCCTCCTCTAACTGCAGTAACAGCCAACAATAACAGCCCTAAAAGGTGCATAGAGCTCGTCCAATCCTCCCCAAGTGCTTACAAGGAAGAGAGAAAGCGAGAAAGAGGAACAACCTCGCGTCCTCCGAGAACACCCTCTCTCCTCTGCCGCCTACGCTATCCTTTTCTCGTGTGCGACCCTCTCTCTCTCTCTCTCTCTCTCTCTTTCTCGATCTCTAATGGTTGTGTATTCTTAGCGACCACTTGATGGCTCAAACCGATCGTATGACGTGCATTTAGCCGAGGGAGTAGTATACAACTCGCTGTTCGTCGTCTTCTCTGATACTCTATATATGTATATATACATATATTCTTTGTCGATCTTCCAGCAAGGCGGTACACGTGTGCCGCACATGTTTGTCGTTCGCTCACGCACAACTATACAATACACACACACACACACACACACATCTGTACCTATACACCGATTTCCGTAAAGAACCGATGACGCGACCAAAGAGCTATATACACGCACACACTTTTGTTCGGCTCGAATGCCAAAATTTCGTTGTTATTTTCGTTAAGAGTTCGTAACACGTATATATTATATGCGTGTGCACGAAAGAGCGCGAGGTATATGATTTAGATGGGCGCGCGCTAACGGAGGGACGAAAAAGTGGACTTTAGAAACGTTAACTGCGGCAGATCGTTGAGTTGGATACGATCGTCCTTGTGTGTATTGTTTGTATCGTAGGCGACGATGGATTTATTCGTCTCTCTCTTGTTTGGTTGAGACGAGCGATATGCGACGTTTCGGGGGGAAGAAATCGGTTGAAAATATACAATTGCGGTTTCATATTCATACTATCAACACGAGCTCTGAAGGAAATTATAATGCAAGGGCTTGTTGGATGGCGCTCATTTTTTCTCTCACCGTAGACGATTTACGTACTTAGTCCTCCTAAAAACGTGCACCCAAAGGAAATAATCAACATATACCCAAAATGTATTTCA